TCCTTTTCGAGTTGGAGCTTCCGATATCCGAATCCTATGCCAAACCGGATAACATGGACCTCCAGCCACAGTTCTTGAATCTTCAGACATGGGTGGATGCTGTGATTCCGAGACACGTGTACATGAGCCGACCCCAAACTAGTGCTATTCAGTTTGTAGAACAGAGGGTGCATTCCTCGACTGGATACCAAACAGCAGTCATCTGTCTCCTGTCCAACGGTAAGATCCGTAGGAACTAGCAACGACCCTGCAACATCCTATCTCCCTTCATAATATCTACCTACGGGTCGACCGACTGCAGTTCGGATACTGTATAGGATGAATTCTATCAAAAGCTGCAAATCTCGTTGCATAAAGTAAAATGTCCGGGCCCGGTCATAGTATCAAACGACTTTAACGCTCAAGTAGGATGACTGAACCAGTCGAATGAGCATCATGCAGGTAACTATATCACATGTCAATGAATCGACTGCGGTGATCGTCTCTTTCAACTGTGTTCTGATAAACATTGTTTGCTTACAGATAGAAACAATTTCAAGAATGAGGAGAGACAGTTATACTCTGCATCTATCGAAACAAATCACGGATCGATGCAGATAAACCATGCTGCTATTATCCATGTATTGTGAGCATCAGTGTTTGATTATAGCTCTTTCTGTTTTCACTGGTTGGAAACTGCTTGTCTCAGCAAACGGTCAACAGTGAAGCCTATGTGTTCTCGACTGCAAGATGAGAACGTCAAGTGCGTAATAATGGAGGAGAAAGCTATACATTTATTTCAGCATGACAGGCATTCTCAAATCAAAGGGACCGGTGTGGTATTCAGTCTTCTGTGGAAACAGCGGTGAAGACATTTTGTAACCTGCATCTAAATGTAATCGAATATCAATGAAATTCAGCTGCCTCATTTGAACTGATCGATGAGACAAGACTCATTTCACCTGTCTCTGACCACAGTGAAGGGCAAAAGCAGCTCAAACGTGAATCGACTAAGAGTTTTCGCATTGATCTCGACCGGTGGTGTCTGATGAAGGCGAGAGCGTTAACACTAGGTGATACTCATGAATTATTTAAGCTTTTTAAGGGTGCTTGCAGGAAGAAGACCATGGTTAGTGAAACTGACGACAAAACGATTGGGATCCTGATGACTTCACAGGACGAGCTGTTAGAACTTTGGGCGAACACTTTGAAGAACAGTCCAGGGCAGATTTGAGAGGGACGTTTATTTTATTCCTCCAACTCTCTTCGAAGTTGAGAAAGTTGTTTCAAACGTGATGCGATGCAACGCAGCAGAATTTGACGGTTAGCTAGCAGTTAGTCTAATGGCATGACTTGCTATTTTACTGAACATAGGGACGGAGTTACTACGTAGCCAATGGGAATCACAGGTAGCCCTGTCCAACGGGTCTTCTCCACTAATTTCGCAAGTCAAGAAGAAAGGATCCAAGTCTTCTTGTGACAATCAATGGCGTAATCTGTTCAACTCACATTGCGTCGAAGACCTTAGACTCCATCGCTACCAAACGCCTAACTGGAGCTCGAGAAAACCAAGCAGGCTTCAAACCTTGACAAGAATGCTTTGGTCAGATCCCCACACTCCGACAGGTTCTGGAACACAGGGATTCGTGCCGGCAACCAGAACTATGTAATTATCTTAACCTATAAGCGGGAATTAACTTCGTTGACTGCGAGGTTTCGTGGGAGTGTTCGACGGTGAAAGCATTACTGAGCAAGTATGTAACGCCAATCAAAGGCGCCTACTCGAATTCATGCAGTCATGTGAGGGCTTATAGAGAGTTGTCATCTGAATTGACAACTAGTGAGTGGTTTCCACCAGTGATGCCGACCGTCACCGTTCTTGATCAGCTTCACTATAGATGCAATAATGGAAATAGCCTTAGATTCTTCTTAATTCAAAGAGATTGATCTACTCCCTGGAGGGTATCTGGTTGACTTCGCGTATACAGACGACATTTTCATACTAGGTGAAGACACTGGCAAACTGCAGGATCTTCTGAATGTCTTGAGCAGAAATCTGAGTACATTTGACAGGCATGCGCTTTGCACATTTTAAAGACAGGATGATGCTCCACGACTAGACAGCAACTACTCTTAGTTTGAGGATAGGGAGCGAAGTGATGAAATGCGTCGACCCCTTCGCTTACTCTGAGAGTCTCACCACTTCAAACGGGCTGATTGCTGACAAAATCTCAGCTGAGATACAGAAGGTTCGTTTGGCATTTGCCAACTCACATCATCTCTGGTACTGACTGCTGAGATATCCGAAAGCCTATAAAAGTATGAGTATGTTGTGATGCAGTTCATTCTTTCCTGTTATATGGCTGTGAGACGTGGCTGTTGAAAGTAGATGTTTCCGAACACAGATGTCTTCGCAACACTGCTCACCTATGACAGAATCACTATGTGAGTAATTCTTAAGTTGGGCGAAGGTTTCCAGGCATGGTAGAGAAGGCGGTCGATAAGGTTGTAAGCATATGGCCACTGATGTGGCTTGGACATCTACGTGAATGCCGAGCCAAGACCAACAACCTCAACGTGCAACGCTAGCAGTAATCCGATTAGGTCAGAAGGCAGCTCAGGGTAGCCAGACTAACACGTGGCACCAGTCCATGAAGTCTTTGGCTGTTGGTTTGAGCTGCGTAGACGGGAGCATAGAATGTCTGTCAAGAGTCATAGGAATGAACAGTTTGATAGCCTTGTTGATATGGCTGGAAATTGGTCACAATGGCACAGATGTATTTGCTCTCTGACGTCTCCTAAAGCTTGGACATTTTCGCTTGTCTTGATTTTGAATTTCTTAGTTCCCACACATAGCTTTGTCTACTTTGATGTCAGTCTTTCTCCATCCTATTGCTCTTTGGATGCTGCTCTGAAGTGTGGCAACCTGAACCGACGCACTAATGGTGTGAGGTCCTAAGTTGATTTTGTCCGCCAATATGAAATGTCACAAACCAACGGTAAAAACTTGAAGTCAATTATAATATTGTGGAGAGTCCTAAAGAGTTAAAAAATAAAACGACTGAAATTTAAGAATCGTTCAGTCGCTATGAGCTTCACGTTGATGTGAAGTTGTTAGTGAAAGAAATTTTCAGCTACTATAACTTACCATTTCCAAAGTATAAATTATTTGCTTGTCGGTAGTTGTTTGAGTCACGCAATAGTGCATGGCATTACTGCATAACGGTGTAGCTTACAACACTTCAACTTTGGATATAATACAACACGATGGGAGAAAACAGAGGAAATAATATGATAAACTACCTAGAAAGCCAGAAGATGAGAACAAAAATGACTAGAGGATACAGTGGAGTTTGGTCTGACGATCAAGACGCAGGTAAGGTGTGAATGCATCTGATCCACCGAAACCTATTCTGAAACATAACACCCAGAGTCTCCAATCTGCGATTTTGATTGTCACACATCCCAACCAGGAAGTATATCTTCACTTCAATGTTACTTGGTTGGAGCCAATCGGTAGGAAGCCCCACTCCACCTAACTTTCATGTTTGTTGGCATTCACCAACAGGATAATTTGAATAGCTAGTTAGGATTTCTGACTACGGAAGTAGGTGAATCGAGTACCAATATCTGGAGAGACATTAGTTTCCTCGAAGATGCGGATATATCTTGCTGACCAGTACCTACAAGCAGGAAATTCAGGTCCATGGCTTTCTGTCGATTGCTTCCAATCGCTTAATATCAATCAAAATGTGTTCCACGATGTTGACTCTCCGATCTTGATGACCACATTATAAGATGATTGGTAGAGTTTGGTTAGGACTGAGGACAATACAACATGAGTCTGGCTACTCTCCAGAGGCTAATCAATATAAGCATACATTTCTCTTCGTCGTTCGGACCAAGTCAGAGAGTTCAAGTTTTCGTCTAGCCCGGAGCTTTCGACATTTTTCAACATTAACTCAGCCACCTCAGTATTTCGAGGCTGGCAACCCAGGAAGTGACCTGGGGCGTCGCATTTTGCAAAGGAGTAGCAAACTATCCCAGCTATCTAAGTCGTTGACGGCTGGCTACATCACCAAATAACTGACCCCTTCCGTCTATGACTCCATGCCTAAACTCGCCATTGGTATTGGTTCCACAGTTTTTGGTCGATGTCACGAATATGACAGTTATCATCTAAACTGATTTGTATGCAGATGGTACAAAATGGTTTCACGCCGGCTAACTAACAAAACTTTTTCGACACTTCTTTCTACCGTTAGACCTCTTGCTTTTATATACACGAAAAGACCCTTCGGTGGTACTGTAGTAGTAAAACAGCCATCTAAGACTAATTATGAAAATTACTGTGACATAGGAACAATCTGCAAAGGCATATGTTAAATTAAACGACAACAACACCACCTGGCGTCCCTATTCTCTCAAATTTCTACACCCTACCTTCGCTTTGTTGACCCGGTGATACCATTCTACACCGCCTCAGCTACGTATGCAACGGTGGTTGAACTGCTGAAGCCGCCTCATGTTCTCAATCTTTATGGATCATTTTTCACGGTGAAATTGTAGAACAATGAATCGCAGTGTCGTTCACTGTACCTTTAAAGGTATCACAGTTGAGCTATAAATGGTGTAAGCTGGTGAATTTTGATCTAGCCCTTTTGTCTGTGGAATTTGTTCCATTAGACTTCAATACACCGCAAGGCGTGAGAATGCTGGGCCTAAGTGTGAGATAATGTACGCGCACTATACGGTCCCAAACTATGGTTGTTCAGAGATTCTTGGCCTCTAGAATTTATCTAACTGATATTAGTTCATGTTGGAGTGTCAAGATATCCAAACGTCAGTCAGGAGTAGCATACGTTTTATTACTTTTCTGTTTGAAATAATACGCATTTAGCGAAATATGTACACAGATATACACTTGGCTTTTACAAGCACACAATAGACCAAAGACTTCAAACCGTTGATCTTGCTTCTCTCCCCCCACCCATTTTCCCCAACGTCATCTTGATGAAAACTTAATCCTCATATTCGTCTTCTTCTCCACTTTCCTCATTCTCTTCTTCTTCAGCTTTTGTTTCACGAGCTAGATGACGTTCCTTCTTCTTTTGTCTTAGAAATTCTTCCTCCAGCGATGTTGGATCATTGACTTCAATCAAGCCATCAGCTTGTTCTTCATTGAATTCTGTCATCAGCTTTGGCAGTCTTAATGGTGAAAATGAACTGCTCAAAACTTTTTGACCCCAACCAATATACACATTGACGAAATCACTAAATTAGGAATTAAAAAAGGGAGCACATTTTAAAACATTTTCGCTGACAAGTACTAATGATGTCTAACTTAATAATGTAAGGTCTGCCAACAATATCCAATGCAACATATCACTCCTAAATAAAGAGTGTGTCATGTTGGTTTACACATTTGCCGAGATAACTCAGTGAAGATCTGCCAGTAAAATCTATATGTATAACTTCGAATCCCGAAACCTTGTTTATTTTATCCATTGCACAATAAGTCCTATAATTCCCATGTATGACACTCGATTGAGCCAACCAGAATGAAGAAAAAGGATATACTGTAAGGAAAGTTTTACTGCCCGAATTGAAGTGCTTATTAGTCGCTTATTTTCCATTAGTGAACGTAGAGAGTGAAAGCACAGTATGCTTAACTATTCATCCCAGTTTCTTATAGGCAACGAAAAATAACCATTACTGTTTTACCTATTTCCGACTAATGACTAAATCCTAATGAGCAGCTTCGTGGTTTAGTCAATAATTCAAGTGAACTGAAGTTATGATAGAAAGCTGTAAATGCATCACTCTGCACATACTTACCACTTGTCAATGAAGAGTGCCTATGACTTTGAAAGTGCAGGAGCGTCAGAGCATGTGGTGAGTTACCAGGTGAGTTGTTGACGTCAATTAGAACATATCCAAGATGTTCACTCTCTTCAGTCTTTTTTTATATTGTTGTACACGTGTTTATGGATGTCTCCTTCCGGTTTCATTTTCGGGGGATTGGTGCTGTCTCGGAAGACTTACCAACATATTTTGGTTACATAGATGACAAGAGGCGGAGTCTACTGAATACCTTGAGTGGCAGTTTGGGAATGCTTGAAACATACTTCTCATCACAAAAATACAAACTGTTGCACCAGAACAGGTCAACATGTGTGCATCGTCTGATGACAGGGAATAAAGTATTGGAGTATTGACCACTTCACTCACTTCTGAAAACTTGGTTAGCTCTGAAGGGTTGGTGAACGATGAGATCTCTGCAGAGTGGGCATAAATATGCACGGTGTATGTGCCCAATGAGATATTCCATGGTCTGCCAACGTTCGAGTGTACTACAAACCAGTTCGCTTCGTCTTACTCTAAAGTTGTGAAACATAGTCATTCAAGGTGGAGGACATGACAAAACTTCAGGGGTTCAACAACCGTTCTCCTCCTCATCACCATCAAGTCAGTAATATAGAAATCAAGCATAGTTTGAAGCGGAAGAGGTAAGTCAGTTGATGGGGTTGGGCATCTTTTTCGACTCACATAGCTAGGAAGTTTGCTTTGCATACTTAATCACTATCCACCTCATCACTCAATGCCAGTTGAAGTGAGTCTCAGTTAGTTGAAGATTGAAGGCGGCCGAAATAAGTCTTTCATGTGTCTGACCTGTGTAGGAAAATATAGACCCCTCGTTTGGAATAGGCATGACAACTGAAACTACTGCTTAGAGACTCTAAGTGCCATAGCCCAGAGTCGATCTCAGTGGTGGAGATGGATACACACGTTATCTAGTTTTCATGTCATATGTCACTATTTGCTTTGACTTAGTTCTTCGCTTATTACAATGTTTCCTAACTCTTGAACAAATATTTGCTGTTGTTCTATCTTTCATTCAAGTATCTTGTATCTCGACATACTGGTATGAAGTGTGATAACTTGAACCCTTACTCAATAAAGCTACGTCTCGTGGTGATATTGGTTGACTGATGTCTTGGAGGGGAATTGAGCTATCTCAGTTATTGGAATCTCTCACACTAATCACCATAATCACTTGCTTCCACTGAATTAATTGGATCACTGTGTTTACTGGAGACAGCATCAACTACAGTGGTTGGTTACTAGAAGATGACACACCCTTCCATCTACTGTGTACCCTTACACGAGTAGAAAAAAGTCGGGATAAAACTAATGGCGGTTAGACCAATGTATGAAGTTGATTGCTGATTGTTTGAAACGTACAGAGAATTCAAAGCATCTGCGTGGGAGTCTATGAGACACAGAAAACTAATGGTTGGAGCCTCCAAAAGATTCAGCATAAAACTGGTCCCAGCGGCACAGATGCACTGATCCCCTATCTTTATTCTAATCATAATATAACAATTTGTTAATTACTTTCTGAATAGTTCAGCTTTCAAGAATATATGATATCACAGTTTCAAGTGGTACAATCCAAAACCTGGGAATGAGAAAAGAAATCAACCAATATTGGATGAATGACTTAAGTTCAGCAGATATTTATTTATATTTGCCATATTAGTATCAGGCAATTCAGGTGATTTTCAGCATTGTACACGTTTTGCCTTTTCGGCAGATACCTTATTATTCATTGTGACCAAACAAAAACCTCTGTTTTTCTTTTCACACTCAAGTTGATTTTCATCATGGACTGACACCAGTTGGAGAACCACTGAAAACCGACGAAACTGGACAGCCGTTTTATCTTAGTATGGGACTCATCAGGAGTTAGCCCCCCGATGATTCTACCGAAGATCAAACCCAGAACCATGAGGTTTCACAGTGAGCACGTTGTCATTCAGCCACTGAGTCAAAACCCAGTGATCTAAATTTTCTTACTTCTGACCACCACCTAATGCCATCGGTGAGTACGTGTTCTCATACCCAACAAGGCGGACCTCACTAGTCATAGATTTTCATTGGAACTTTAAGAAACTGATCCCAAAAAGTTTCACTAATGAGCAAAGGACAGTAATTCAGTCCATGATGAGTCGCAGCATGAAATCAATAAATCCTCACAAACCTCCGAATTGAATAGGTTTATTTATTTTGGTTAGAAAGGGAAATTTTCATAAAATAAAGAAGTCTAATTAGTCCTTTCACTTGGCGTGAGGCTAGCCTTTAGAGTCACTTTTTCTTATTCAGTTAATGTGATTAATAGTGTTGGAATAGATTTCATGCACTAAAACAAAGTTGATGCTCACATTCTAGAGGCTCATAGCGCCCCTTCAAACTTGAGTACGCAAGATAAAGGAACACCACATCAGGAGGTTAAACTTTTATGGAAAAAAGAAATTTTCCAAAGACCACATACCTTAATGCTGTTTACGTTGCGAAACCCTAGTAATCTACACGAAGATCCTGAAGTATGTACACAAAGAAAACTTGTTCAACCTTTTCTTCTATCATCATTTGTTTTTCAGACCACTGCTGAAACCAACTCCTTCATTCATTCTGTCCACTTAACACATAAGGTCTGTTCATCTCCTTCTCTTTCAGACCACACTTGTCTTTGAGAATGAAATGCCATTAATATGCTATTTCTATTATGTTTTGATTAAGCTTCAGGATTCATAATAACTTGGATTTCTACGTAATTATTATAATCTGAATCTTGCTATTATCTTTTGGTCTGTATAGTGAATAAAAGTAAATCGAAAATATACACGATGGTAAGATTCGTATCGGTGATCTTCGGCTTACCTACCGAAAGCTATACGGATTACGTCATAACCCAACCACTGCTCAGAAGTTGGTTTAACTTAGGTCACAGAAGGTTGTGCCCTCTGTCACGTGGATTGATGATACTTATCTTTCCGTTCACCGACATAAAACTAGTTAACCAGTTAGTTGGATTTATTACTGGGGAGGTTATCCGAGGTAACCATGGTTATATTGGGACTTGTATCAGTGAACTCCAGGTTACAAGCACAGAACTTCACCAACTGAGTGACGATACCCAGCTGCTGGCCAAATATTAATTTCACTTCAATTATTTTTCTGTCTGTTTTCATACTGGATAAGCCACTGTTAGCTACCATTTACAACAAAAGATACTGAAGAAAGCGTATAAGTGTGCTATTCTGAATCTTCGAGAACGAATTCTTTGAAGAGTATCTTTACTGAACTAATTGTCCCTATTTTTACCAATTATTAGGAAACGTTTTATTTCATCAGGAAATAAGTTGCAGCAGGTTGACAATTATTCAATATGAAAACACTAAAGAAAGTACATCTGCGACAATTACATGATATTCACATAAACTTACGCTCCTCTTGCAAGTGCATGTGCGCCTGGCCATCGACCACTGCTTACAATAGCTACACAACAGTTTTTCGGTAATAGGACGCTTGATGGTTTTACTCTCCATGCAATCAAAGGACGAGAAGTTAACTTAATAGAACGATTTTCCGATCGAGTAATTCTTGCTGTTGGTAGACCAACATTTTCAGTCGCCTTGAGAACTGTATCTTCTGCAATAGTACCTAACAGATTTGGACCTTCTTGTGGTTCTTCAAGTTGTTCACCTTCTCCGCCCTCTTCTTCCGTTTCTTCATCATTCATCTCTCCTTTTGCTTTGAATTTCTCGATCCATTTCTGTGCAACAATAGGATTAATCCATCCAATATCTTTTCTACCGTCAAGTATCTCTTTCATTGCACTGACTGCTTGCTTTTGTGCAACAAAACTACATCTACCTTGTGGTAGAATATACGGTCTTATATGTTGCCAATTATTTCTGTTTAACAGTTCTTCAAATTCCAGTGGTTCAAAATCTTCAACTTCCATCAGAGTTTCAGGCTGCTCCTGTACATAAAGTTCAAAGAGAGAGAAGTTGAGAGGATGAGTTATATGACTGTCGAGTTGTGAACATATTTAACTTAATCTCGATTTTAACGGAAACTTTTGTTGATTAACTATCAAGCCCTGGTGTTTTGCATCGTTTCAACCTTATCAACTATGAGGAGAGTTTGAGTACCAACATCTTCATCCTGTTGAGATCCAAGCTAGATGAGGTGGCAACTGAGGTGTTGCTGTAGGCACTCAACGTCTTACCGTATGTGCTGACAGATTATCATAGACCGGTCTGTTTTAACTGATAGTCTCACTGCCAATCATCTTCTCCATACTGCCAACTTAATAAACCTAAGTAATTGTGGAGTATTACCTAGTGCTGATGCTTTCTTCCTCTCTCTCAGTTTTCTCACCCATCATTGGTTGCTATCTTTGAGGATAATTTGAGTGGGTCTACGTTCAAACTACTTTTGATCCTGGTTGTAGTCAGAGCTAGCCGGAATGAGTCTTGTTGGGATGAGATTGCAGAATTTGACTGACGTTTACTAACCATTAGATTTAGGTTACAACGTGTCTTCATCGGTGTTTCTACAGCAGACTGAATGCCATACCAGGCCTTATCAAGATGAGAATTGCGGTTACGTTCAGATGAACACTTAGCTGTGTTCTCTCAATTAGCACTTGGCTTTCTCATGCTGCAGTCAAGAACGCACAGGCTTCACCAGTGCCACCTGTTGCAGCAACTAGTAGACCGTAGACTGATACGTGCATGTATTAACGCCCGATCACAATCCAAGTAGGTACTAACAGACTGGTAGTTGTAGTTAGTAAAATGCGCTAAGTTTGCACTAAAATTTGTTTATTCAACGCAAGAATTATTATTGTCATTTTGCATTTGTACATGATTCAGAGACTCAAATCTATGAATCAGTAGAGTAATAAGGAGTGTTTTTAGTTACTTAATAACAGTCAACTAGTGCATATATTTACAGGAGTACAATATTAGTCACCACAGTCCATGGAAGAAGAGACCATTGGATAGGGATCATTCATTTAATTCCTACATGCATCTGACTGCTGGATGAGAACGTCATCGGTGTTACAAATTAAAACTAACCAATTCCTTCAGTCAAACAAATAATATTAAGATGGTACTTGGCATTACTGCACAATAATCCGTTTAATTACACCTTAAATCAGCACTTCAGGATACAGAGTACCAAGAGGAAAGATGGAGAAATTAAGAAAGGTAATTAAAGCAGCACTAATTCTTAAAAATAGAGAAAACATAAGTAAAAGTAAAACGTAATTCGATAGGATAATTGAGATACAGATGATTCGTGGATGAATTTTCGTTAAGAGGTTCGACTTCCCTGGTGTGGTCATGCGTGCACACTACTGAGGAGTCCCATACTAGGATGAAACAGCTGTACTGTGCTCCTAGGTTTCCAATGTTCCTCCATGGCGAATTCCAACCTAATTTCACATACATTCATTCTGCCACCTTCAACCTTCCTCTAGTCGACTTATTTCAGCTAACACCGAGCTATGGAGTATATGGTGGCTAAGGATGAGTAGTATACTTCTTAGTGATCTGAGTTGACGAAGGATCATAACTTAATCAACTGACTTACTTCTTTTAGCCATCACTGTCAGCCTGAATTCTAAATTATTGAAGTGATAGTTTCACGGCACACATCCTTCGCTACGGAGGAATAGAATATGAGATCGGTTGCTGTAAGCAATTAAATAGGTCAAAGTAATTGACTGGGGTCAAGTAAAATAACGGGACCAAAACGTGACCTAATATACAATGGCAGATGCTGATAAGCTCATCACAGCAATACATTCAATCACATAAAATCAAACTACTGGATGGGACAAAGTAACAGTCATAAGAATTAGCTTTTATCGCATCAACATAGAATATATGTAATAGGAAGGACTCAACACTTATTAAAGATATTTGAATATCTCTACTACCTTTAGAACAAATGAATAAGAAGAAACAGAAATATGCAAACAGTATGTGAAATACATTGAGTAATTCTAGTCGACTATGAACAGCGAATTCTACCCGAGGTGTCACCTGGTAATCTAAGTGGTTTAGCTATGCTAAATTTCCAGTGAACAAATTTACATCAAATTATACATCACTAGAGAGCCGAAGGTCTACTCTAACATGAAACATTCACTGCATTTTATTGGTGACTGTAGACTATTGAACTGTTTTGGACTTGAACTTTTGCGCCTAACCAAACTGATATTGATGTCTGCATGGCATTCACTTTTAAAAGTAAATCTTTAAAGTAAATAAAATTTTAGTGCAAAATTACTCCTTGAATGACCGACTAAACGTGTTTGGTCGCCTAGAGAAAATCTACATAAGTTTAAGCTACTCATAAGTAGTTAAATTATATTTAAAGAAAAAGATGGATCCTTAATTTTATTGGCCCGTCATCAGCTATTTAAACCCGAATATACAAATTATCAGCTCAGGAAAACTACTGTGGCATAAATTTGAATTTTCGGGATTTTGGTGTATGTCGTAGAGATGGGAAACATATTGGAATGCCAAAGTATAAAGAAAGCGGCAAAAACATTTTTTGAAAGGAGAGCAGGAATATCTCGTGTGAGCAAGTTCATTTAAGAGCAGAAATACTTACTAAGCCACATAACAAGCTATGCAGGTTAAAATGGTAAGCATCTGAGAAGAATAATAATGATAATAAGATTTGAAGTAGTAGTGAAAACGGAAAGGAAGAGGGACAAACAACAGATAAGCTTGATGTAATAACTGGTTCCATATTAGATTTGTTTATTTGGTTTATAACACAGTGATCTAGTATTATTTACTTAATGAAGTTTCGAAAATCAATTATTGCTCATAATCATATCACATTGTGTTTTAAACCAAATAAACAAATCTCATATGGAATTAATTTCTACCGCAGTGCCGAAGTTTTACACCTATATTAGTAATAGCTGGTTGTTTACGGTCATTAGCTGAATGGAATAAACCAGTCATCATGTACACATGCTTCATTCCTACCAGTAGTTTCAGTCTGATAATGATGAAGATAATCACTGGCGGTGGAACCCAGGACTTTTGTCTCAACTTATTTGGGACTCTTGAGTGTACCTGTCTGTCCGTGTGTGTTGTCCCTATGTAAACTAGAATTCAGAACCTTTTCAACGATACGAGACTATGAGCTACAAGTAAACCCGTTGGACGATGAGTTGTTGTAACTTAGTAATCTGGTGGTGCTTGAAGCAATGAGCACTAGACTGGTGTCGCAGCATTAACAATAACACTAGAGGAAAATACAGCACTTCATGAGTTAAAAATAGGATAAGACATACTGAATTCCACTGCTATCCAATATCCATCAGCATCACAAATAAATAATAGTTGAGATTTTAGAAAGATAAGTGGATTTATGTTAAAATATCACATTTATGAAGTGATAGAAAGTTATTGTTAAGTGTCTCTTTTTCAATCTACAAATCAAGTTGAATTCCTGTGATTACAATGAATTCAGTTATGGCCAGAAGTAGTGTTTTTTTCTGTTAAATTCATGAATCATGTATCAATTATGTGACTGCCTAATGAACTGTTGGATTAGGTCAAACCTTGGACATATACTGTGTGTTAAGCGCTATGTAATCTCATTTGACACAACCGTTTGTTCTGTTTCTAGCCTTGACACCGTATGTATATGTAATTAACAGACAACTAAAATTATCGAGAGTTTAAGCCTTGTTTACCTTGAATTGTGCACTTAAATATACCAAACGATCAAGTAGACAAATTCTTGGTCGAATAAGTATTGGTCATTTGTCTGCTTTGAAATCTTAAGGCTGTAAATTCGACCCCATACGGACTGCACTTCTGGTTGATCTGAAACTAGGATAAAACAGCTGTCGAGTAAGTCCCGTTTTATAATGATTCCTTTTAGCTGACTTCAGTTAATCATAACAGCTGTCTTCAACCCCGTCAATTTTTTACAGATAGAATGATTATCCATCATCAAAATTCTGTGTGGTATCGGAAAAGTTCCTTCTTATTTTCTATTCCATATACATACTGACAGTTTAAGTAATCATAAATAAGCTTGAGTGCATCTACCAAATCCAGTGTGTCTTTAGGGAATGGTATTGACCTAGATGTCCAGATGGCATCCATCACAGACTGCTATCGATTGGAGAACCATTGAAAACAGTGGGACACTGAACAGCTGACTCACCCTAGTATAGGATTCATCAGCGGCGCACACCCATGACTGGCGGGGATCAAATACAAGACTTGAGGTTTCACGACAGACACGCTACCACTGAGCTACTGGGCTGGAATCTGACTGCCCAAATTCTACTACTTCTCTGATTCACCATATATTATGGCCACGACTCAACGCCATCGGTGAGTTTTATCCTCACACCCAACATGGTTGACCTCACAGATGATGAGTTTTCATTAGAACTTAGAGAAACCGACCTCAAAGAATGTCACCAATGAGCACAGGACAATAATTCAATTAGAGGTTTGTGGGGATTTATTGACCTAGATGGTTGTAAAGTGATGGGCGACTGGTGAGGAATCACAGTAGACTACTCATTACTAATCTTTCCATTCACTGACACTGATCCATAAGACACTAATAGTAATGATAGAACTGGTGAGACTTCAGAGACTCGTTGGAGCACTCACAGCCCTGATATACAATTGAATGCAAAACCATGAGATTATTAATGGTTAACTCCAACTATTTAAAACTAGAATATTATGAAACATTCAGCAGAAAGATGCAGGATGCAGTCAATAATTATCAGCATAGGAGCTGGCATTACTAAGAAACTGTTCAAAGTGGGAGATACAGCAGCAGGAATGAATCATTGAAAACGACATAAAAGATAATGAGCAATCTAAGTGAACTTGAAACTGGAAACATGTAGGCGCATCTGAAACCCTAAAGTACTACTCATTTCTCCCGAATGATCTGAAACCACGTCACCCAAATCTACATTTACATACGTTTACATTGAGCTATTCAGACCTTTAGAACTGGGTGATATATAATGATTGGCTAATCTCCAATGACGGAACAATATAATGAACACTTCTTGACCATTATGATTGGATTACGTTTTCTTCATATATTATGGAGTTTTATTTTATCACTTGGTGAATTTCGCCTTGTCAACCGATTCATTTTAAATGTAGTAAAAGTAGTTGTTGTAATGTTTGTAATTTCTCGTGGCTATATAGGCCCGAATCGCTGAATCTCTGTTGTTGGCAGATGGTTCATATGCGGATGCCTCGATACCACCAGAGATTCATGATGTCATGTTCATGTTGGTACGACCGAGAAATTCGGCCCTGTATAATAACGGGAAGAAACAAGCATCACAACAACAACTGATACCCATTGCACAAGACGTGCGAATTGTGCCTCAGTGGTATAGTGGGTAGTACGTTGGCGTTAGGAACTGTGGATACTGGGTCGGAGTCCCGGTTGTGACAGTATCACTCACTGAGGTGCAGGTACACCCGGCTGATTAGTCCCAAGTAGGACTGAGTGAGCTGGACTTCTTTGCTGGTCACCAACATAAACGAGGTATTCACTACCAGAAAAAAAGCTCTCAAACCGAAAGACGCCTTTACTGCTTATTGAGGTCTGTCACAGAAACATTGTAAAACTGGAAGGAATGGACAGCTATTTGATTCTTTTACGGTATGCCTCAGTAACGCACATCCACGACTTTTTAAGGGATTAAGCACCGCACCGTCAACACTCAAACTGCTTCGCTCCACAATGGGAACTAATCTGAATCAGTAAGTGTCTATTGACCAAGAATTGAATTAATTTTTATGGGGTTGACGACACATCGATAGATACACTAGCATAGAACCCTTGATAAAATGGAGCTGTTTCAAGCAACCACACTTCTCAGTAGTATCAAAAGATGAATTGTAAAATAGTGAAATGATTGAGCAAGAACAATTCTGATGAACAGAGAAAAATGAGAGCTAAAAGGAACCACCGTGGAGTATTCTTATCCTCTTATAGGTATTTAGACATCTATGTGATATAGCAAAGAACAGAAGTTGGTGAATTTCAAATAAACTGTTCTAATCAGTGCGTGGAATTCATCTCCACACAACCTAGTATTCAGATGTTTTTATATCAGTATTATTATTCATGCAATTAATAGATTTATTACGGAAAAAACAGTTATGTAGTTGAGTACATGGTAAAAGAATCAGTGAACCATGTGAATTTTGAAAATATTCAAATATTTTATATGAGAAAAAACACAGATTCAGTCTCTTTTACTTACACCTTCCTCTAGTTCAGCCTCTTCATCAATTTCATATATCCCAGCAGGGGAAATCCAACAGGCAGATGTGATACGAGCTATTTGTGCTCTGAGTAAGTGTACTTCTAAGCCAGGAAATTCACCTAATCCTCCAGGTCCTTGTAAAACCGGTGCATCTGGTTTCCCCACAAATAATCTTCTAATATGTCGTGCATGGAATATATGCTCTGTTCTAACTGGTGGTAAACGAAACCACTCATCACTGCCAAGATTTGTACACGCAAAGTAATCCCATCGGTTTAATCCACGACCACGAATTTCAGATGGTATTGGAGCAGGTGGACACCATTATTTTTGGTAAATCTTGCAGAAATAGTTTACGTGCTTGAGAAAGCCTAGTTTGCTCTTCAGGTAATTCGTCAGAGACTGATTTCTTCTCACCATCTTCACCATATGAGTCTTCACGTGAAAAGTATTTGCGTTGATCCGGTGCTACAAAGTGAGATGAGGTGAAAGAGCTTAACTTGTAAAGCCACTGTTACAATGGAAGGAAGAAAAGTAAAATAGCAATCTACCATAAGGATGACATGTTGTACTATTTTCGTTCTTTTAAAAGACACTTCACACAAGACTTGTTCAGTAGTTTCATTGTATAGATTAGCTCTAAAGTTTTGTATTGGCTCCTTGCTTATCTCAGTACGGTTTATGTATCCCCAATAAGTTACTGTTAAGAATAAGCAATTATTGTGCGTTATTCCGTTTTCTATGCTTAAAATCAGTTACTTCATTCTTGTGAGTTACAGCACCATGCTAGTACACAATTCACTTGGCTGAATGCATGGCTCATAAAAGGATATTAAGTTACCAGTCTGTCTTCCGCTGTATGATGAAGAGGGAAGAACGAATGCTAGTTAAAGGGTTGTAAACGTCTCTTCTAATGTTTAGCTAAGTCTGAGACTTATAAGCGAGCGAAAGAGCAGGTAAGAGCAAGGAAATTCAGATATTAAAGCGTATCAGAGGTCACAATCAGGTGACAAATTCAAATTCACATCTTTTGCTGGTATCACTTTCCGTTATGACAAGTACTTGTTTCATAAGTCAAAAAATGACCGTTACCAACCATGTGTAGATTTAAAGTCATAACTTGTAGATACTCCTTGTTGATTTGTCCTACCTGAGCTTCATTTCAAATACCTCGATATTGTCGTTAGTTTAAAAAAAATAGTAATCATAACTTGTGGCTAGCAGTAAGACCCAGGATGCTCATTTCTTCCTACTTAGGGCACAAAAATTAGTTATTGTGACTTACCAGCCCGATAGATAACGTTCCATCTTTTGAATAGATGGGTTCTAGGTTTCATTTTCAGTGGAAATAACGTCATCCTCTGGAAGGTAGGTAAATCTAGCTAAAGAGTTCCAAGTAGAACATAATCCATGTCTTGGATTACGCTTCCAACCATTATCCATCATTAGTGTCAAATGAGGAGAAACAATATTAAAAACTGATAAATAGCCCAACGTTAGCATAACTTCAGGAGAAAATGATAGTTTTCATTTCAGTGTTATAAAAGGATACGTTTACACACCCTTAGTAATCCGTGGCTAATTGGTCTAAGTACTCAATTTCTAATCATTCGATCACGGTTTAGAACATTGTTGAGGTTTATATACCTTGAGAAGTTTTGTGTGATCAGATTGTTCGAAATGTATCCCGCGAATACATCACATTTCTCAAATAACTTTCGTCTTCTAATTAATTTTTGTCTAATTTTTTCTCTCTCCGAGACAAAAGTTGTACTTCATGCTCCATTAATTATAAATCTCCATTCTTGAATATTTAAATAATAATCACTGTCGACGGTAGGTAAATATTATTTTTGAACGTCAGTATTTATATTTCATACTATTCGTTGCTTGAATAAAGTTGGATACTCCCATTGAAATAATTCGAAAACACAGTTAAAGCAAATGCCTATTTCCAAGCTTGACAATTATATTTAAAAATTATTCAGCATGGACATTTGATACTGATATGGTTGATTGAATTGAGGTACATGAATTAAAGGATGACAATAATAGTAAAAACAAAACCTTTCTCTGCATGACAACGGCTATCCTGAGAAGTTCTCAAGGGCTATTGCAATCAGAACGGATGGGAAAAAGTACCTTCGGCTGGTACTAAAGATACAATTATATCTAACTTTAGCATTCAAACGAGACGCATCTGCAAAATACTGAGAGTTAAACACAGAAATCTGACAGAAGAAAACTTTGACTTTTATTTCTAAATCATTAGCAATTGCTGAAGTATCACAAAATTTCGGACCCAGAGATAACACCTGCATTCGAATGGGAGTCAAATCTACCTTGGAGTAATTGAAGATGTTTGTTCGTTCAATTTCCCTCTCATTGCCTTCAACTTCACCCCAGACACAGTTACAATCATTACCACCCCGGTTACCCGGAAAGTTGTAAGTGTTACCTTTGTTTGTACTGTTATCATTGTCATCATCATTACACTCCGTTTAAGTTTTACATTTTGCCCTTAATTTCGTAATTGACTAAGAATTTGGACATTTTATTATCTGATTGCTCTGTGGCAATCATTTTATTCCCTTTTAAACCTACACATATCCAATATAGTTTAAAATCCCCCATTAGGTCATAAAACAAAAGACGTTTAGCGAAGAGCCACTTTTTTTCAGCGGTGTCATTCTCAAGCTGTACGATCGCATATAAATGTTCTATTTACACAGCAACAGAAAAGGAATGTTTTATGAAATATTTTGAACGAAGTTCAGATTTGATTATAAAGCAGGAGATCGGAAAAAAGAAGTACGTAATATTGGAAATCGTAATAAAAAGAAGACTTATCAAGACACAACTAATATGTAATTACATACACAATGATTGACTACTGACATTACATAAACTGAAAAAAATGTTGTTGTTGTTACTATCGACTTCAGTGTTATCCCCTAATTTATGTGCCCGGATTATGTTAACCATGTTAGTATCAAATGTAAATGCTTAAATAATTTTTAAATGTAACTGTAAAGCCTGAAAATAGGCACTTACCTCAACTATGTTTTCTAAATTTGAATACAGCGAAAGTGTCAGCTGGAGCAGTAAAACGTATTTCTTCCTAGGCTTTCTAACCTTTTGGACAAATATTTGGAACATTAAATGTTTCTGGTCAGTCGACAGGAAGCTCTCAACCTAGGTGTCCTGCTTTATGGTGTTCATCAGAAAAGCGTATATGGAATCAACACTAAGTTGGGGTTCCTTCATGATCTAAAGCCGGGCAACTTAGTACTGAAGTCAAAGTCTGTACGAGAAACCTATTCAAGACTAATGTGATCCCCGGCACGACTGCGCGATGTTCACAACTCTGTCACTTTTTGGTAGCTGACGTAGCCATGTATTCCTTGGTCCTTAGAAGTCTGCTGACCAAATTTCCAGGTGGCACTGCTCTGTACTGCACTACATTTAAGCGTTGGGTTTGGAGGTCAATCTACGGGAAGCCCTGTTCTACTTAGGTATACTGCTTGTCGCCATGCTCCACCCAACCGTGAGCACTAAGGAGTAAACAGCAATATCAGACAGTTGCTCACCGTTTATCAATCCGTGCAAATATTTCTAAGTAATCAATGGCATCGCACTTCGTATCTCCTATATTTGCAAAGATTCCCTATAGGAAAACATTTAGGTCTTATTATGCTAAAAATAAGGGTCTTATTTCCCCAATTAAAGAATTCAAATATTTAGTGTGATGATGTTTGCTTGCTTTCGTTAAAGATTCGATGTAGGTAACATGAACAACCTAGTAAGCATTTTCCAGGTTGATAACTTCGCAGAAATTCAACATCTAATATCTTTTTAACAAGTACAGCGAACCGAGAATTTTGAACTCTTGCGTTTACGTATTCAGGCTAATTTCTTTTTGTTTGGTTTCGCTCATTCGATGGGCGTGAAATTCCTTTACGTACATATACAAAACATGTGATCATCCAGTATAAACATCAAAACTACACACTGTGTGATATTTTTTAAAATCCTGACAGCTTTCCTTCATATGATTGTAGGGGATTTCTGTTATATAAACTTTTCCATAAGAAATATCAGAATTATCCTTTGACAAATGACGGTAACAATGAGACATTTTTCTAAATAAAAGAAATTACCACATGACAATATAAATGCTCATACAAATTCCCTGATTAACATGGAGGCAAAGGAACCAGTGGAGATTGTTGATGAACATCATATCTTTCTAAATAGAAAAATTTAAATTCGAGGAACTAATGGAAGAAATAATTTCAAAGTAAAAACTACACATCTGGCAACTCGCTTCTTACTATGCTTCGAAAGAACTAAGATAGATGAGAGTAGATACCTTCCTTTTTCTTGTTTCCTCCACCTACTTCTACTAGTCTAAAGTACATAGACTGAAAGAAAACACCAAGATACTAGAATATATTTCAAAGCCAATTTTAATCGAGTTGAAATTCAGAAGACAATAGATCTTCAGATGCGCAATTGCTATTCATCTGTGTGGTTATCTGCATAACAGAGATAATTTTTACGTTGTCTACGACAGTTTAACAACGAAGTGAACTGAGGTCTGCTACTCTTCACCAAAGTTATTGCTAATAAACTATTCAGGAGAAAGTATTTATCAGTCTGCTATTTTTATAATAAATTGTTCTGATACTCGACTTCGTAACATTATCAACTCTTAAGAGGTTGTATCTAACTTTTCCCAAGTTACCTGTCGAACTCTCGACATAATCAATAACTTTTGCTTATGATTTCCCGAAGATTTTGCGGTATGCTTCTTATTTTCAGCTCCCTCAAATGCCTCTAGAATATTCTTACATCTATGCAACAACAAAAAACACAAGTAAAACAACCGTTTATTAACTCTTCCATCTCCTTTCATGCAATTTCATTGGGCTTGTTTACGTTTTGTCAGTATGTTTGTTCGTCTACTTGATTAGAAGCTCATATGTATCACTATCACGTTTTCAGTTGTAAACACTTGACATGAATCATTGAGACAAAATGAATGCAAATTATATTCTGCTTCAATTACTAATAATTACTTTCAAACAAGTGTACTTAATTACAAGTGAAAGTTGTAAATATTATAATCCAATTCATTAAAGTCATGAGATTAAATTGTTGGACTGATCTAGAAATAACCTATTGATTCAAATGGTTCCTCCTCAGTAGTGATACATCCTAATAATTATTTTTAAGCAAGAAAATGAAGTATGCAGCTGTGTTACCATCTGAACAAACTAATCCCCCGTTTATTCGTTTGCTTTACTCCATCATACAACGTTTTGCTACCATCATATCCCTACCTTTCTAACTCATGAGTGTGCACCACCGAGCAGCACCAAACTAGGCCGAAACAGCTGTCCATTACTTCAGTTACCAACGGTTTTCCACCACATGTTAGCATTCGTGTGAAAACAATAAATCCTCATCAGAACCCTTTCCTTTGGATTTCACTCTCTTTTTAATTCCCCTTACTGTGTTGTTGTGAACTTTAAGAATTTGAACTGGTGTGCTAACTTCTTAGATGGTTTTTCTTGCATTTCAGAATGAAAGTAAATCAGGTATCACGAATAAAAGTATCTATGTAGACCAAGTTGAATTCCTCGCCAGAGTAGCAGGAGACAGTCAGTTACTAATTATTGTTATACCGATGAAGCAATGAAGATGTTACCTTTAGAATAGTTTGGTCGGTTGGATTATTTAATTTGGTTTAAGATACACACTACATAGGACTTGTACTATGGTTTTACTGCATACCCGGGTGAAAGACCTTCTACTGACCTGCCTACCTTTTCTAAAGCCTCTCTTCGTCCCCATAGAGAAGGCAGCATCAGGATGGTACTACTTGTCACCCGTGCTAAACACCTTGTTGCTGTCACACCCTTATCCAACCAGCAGCAAGTCTTCACCATCAAACTCCCATCATAAAGTAATAATTTACACTATAACGATAACCGCTTTTTGCATTGCCACTATCCAGATGAACTTTCTGGCATATTAGAACGTCGAGAGAACAAGTGTTCCACCAGTCTAACCCCTTGAGTCATTGTGATATGCAAGCCTGACCACCACTTCAACGAAAGGGCCATCAATCAGTGGAAGTTTTGTTTTTACTTTCATGTGGTAGTTGTTATTTTGAAGAAGGAAATGCAAATATAAACATCGAAATTGCATGCTCCTTCGGATTATTTTATTCGACTCAGAAAACATTTTACATAGGACTTGTGTTATGGTATCATTGCATACCCGGGTGAAGGGGCTTCTACTAACCTCTCACCAATTTCCACATGGCTTTTACTTCAGAAATAAGTGTCTACTAAAGGAAATCAACTTTTCTACTGAACTCCTTCCATGAACAATGCCACAATGCAAGTATGTAGTTCAGATGTATATACCCGTGACTTCGATCACAACTATCCAATACGGTGTTCATCAGTTTTGTCTTTAACTAAGAGGAGGCTGGGAGAAAATTCTGAACTAATCCATGTGTGAATTGGGCGGGTATAGGAGATGTGGGATTAATCACGTGTTCAACAAGACTTATGAGGAAAATGGGAAATCATGTGATAAGACCAACCCTTGAAAAGTTATAGCACCTGTCTCTTGAAGGGATGAGCTGAATATATGAATGAATTTAAAGGCCATGACAACAGTTACTGAAATGGTCAGTCAGATTTATCAATTTAAATCTGAAAGTCACTTCCTTTTCATAAACTAAAGGATGTAACTGGTAATTTCAGTAGTTGCTAAGGTGGCCTACATTGTCACTAGAACCTATACTGATTAGACACTGGAGAGTAACCCTGAGTTAGAGTCTCAGTGGGAACAACATCACTCACTGGAGTGCGGTTACATTCAGTTGACGATACCCATTCAGGATATCCTGGATTCCACTACTAGTCAGCACTAAGAAATTTATTCTGAATGTTGTTCTACGAAAACTATTTGACGACCTACCTAAATTACTAGGTAATATGATATCTTTTTTAATCGTAATTTAAATGAGGACTTCAGCGAATAAATTTATTTTCCGCTATGTCATTCTCAAACATTGCATAATTGCATTTGTCTTTTTATCAACTATTTACTCAAAGTTGAAAAGCAATTACAGTGCAAAGTAGGAAATTGAATGAAACGCCTGCTTGTGAACATACCTACTTGTTGCCAGTGTTATTTTCGGCACCAAATAATAAATTAGTTCCCAAAACGTAGTGTCCACTAGAATTAGTACTTTAGAATGACACAGGTAGAATGAGGATTACGACTGTAGTACATGCACTTTAAGCAATATCAAAAAGCAGTTCCACCAAACAGTTCGATCAAGCTCAGTCAGAAAACTGTAAATAATCATATTTACAACAAAATAGTCAAAGTTCCATGGACTCAGTTGTATTTGGAACAGAGTTATAGTCCAATTTATAGGGTCCTGGAGGTCCTGGGTTCAATGCCTGATGGGGTCATCAGTGCGCACTGCTGAGGAGTCCCACACTAGGACGAAAAGGCTGTGCAGTGTTCCCGGGTTTCAAGTATATCTCTACTTGATTTCATTCCATGATAAATATCAACTTGAATTATACTCATTATCACAGTAGGATAGAATAGCAATAGCTAATGAGATTAACTTTACAGGCCCACAGACACCTTTCATGACTTGACCAGACTGCACAAGCATGGATCATATATATATATATATATATATATATATATATATATATATATATATATATATATGTCTGTATTACCAATGATTTTCATATTGCTGTGGCGTAAACGCCTTTAGCTCAGCTTCTGATTTTGCATTCTCTTCCACACTGACAACTGGCTGTGTCGCATTCTTCATTTCTTCCTGATTTCAATACACACTAAGCTATGATTTTTCATTCCGTTATTATTTTCATGTCCAGAACCTACTTGAAATTATTGTTTTGGAAACCGTATTACCATTAGTTGTGTACGCTAATTATATTTAAGTGTGACTGTGCAACTTCTGAGGATGATGTCACCGAAAAATATTTGTTCAGATGATATTTTTTGATGAGACACTCTTCCACTTGGAACACTTGTGGGAATTTATTGATTTCAAGTTGGTATTCACGACAGATTGATATCAATTGGAAAAATATTCGAAACTTGGGAACACTGAACAGCTGTTTCATCCTAGCGTGGAACTCTGCAGCAGTGCGTACCCATGACCCCTCCAGGGACTGAGCCCAGGACCTTCAGATCCCCTTGGCAACATTTTACCCTTGGACCCTTGAGTCGGATTCCAATGGTCCATATTTCCTAGTTCTGTCAGTTTGTGATATAGCACGACCTCCGTCCAATACCGTCGTTGACTAACTGTCTTCATGTTTGACTTGGTTGACTCCACTGACCACGACTTCGCATTATAACTTCGGGAATCACCTCTCGAAGCTTGTTACCAATGAGCACACGCAAACAATAACCAATTCAAATGATTCATGAACCTATGCAATCAAAACAATTACTTGCAAAGTTATCCCGTGTTAGGATACACAATCCTTGGCGAGAAGTATCATTATGGTTTCCCATAGAAACCAAAATATTTAAATGACATAATGTACTTAGCTTAGTATCACAAGTGCTGCCAAGATAGCGAACATGGAAGCTGTACGAAACATACCACTGAGTGACATGGTTAGTTATGAACCACTCACATCGATCGGCAGTTCTTTCAGCAGTTCGGCTGTTTAAACTGAATCACTCCAGGAATGTCACTTAGGAACTCGGCCACAAATGAGTGAAACAGCCGTATGACGCCTAGACCACCTTGTTTTGGCCAGTGGGAGAGGTCTACAACTACCTATACTAGCCAGTAGTACATTTCATATATTTCGCATCATCTGGTTAATAAATAATAGCAATAAAAGCTCTCTCTTCATATTATTTTTATAACTTACAAACTTTATCTTCCTTTTTCTGTGTATAAGGTCGCCAGTCATCGTATGGGGCTGGAACACCGTTATCTGGCGGCATACCTGGCTCAAATTCACCTTCAGCAATATAATAACAACCTTCTGTACCCAATATTTTACCCCAGAAGTTTAATTTTACCACTGTTTTTATTTCAGTGATAATTTACGTATACTTAGCCAAACACGAAGCATTTCTGAGCGTCCAAGACCTGATAAATAAAATTAAAAAGTTTTCGTTTTATAAATGTCTAAAAAGTAATAGGATTATAGGTGGATAGCAGTAAAAACGGTTATTTATTAAATACGGTTATATCTGTTTTCACAAGGCAAACGACCTTCAGATTTAAATTTCCCCAACACACCAACTTAACGAATAAATTCCGTGACTCTGATCGGCTCATTTTTTCACCAATAACACGTTAACAAGGTTATTCGTCTTCACAGAATTTTGAGAAGTCTTAATGTTACGAAACACAGTCGGATGCTCTGAACAGGTTGGCTGTAACTCTGTTCCATCTACGTTAATGCCTTAATTATTATATTGTTAATTCTTCACCTTAAATCAATATAAGCAATCGTACATTCAAGCGGAAAAGTGGTGTTAAGTTGGGGTTTCGTGATTTAAACTAAACGATAAACTGGCAAGTAACCTTGAATAATTAGTTAAAATCCGGGTACGCATCTAACACTGAAAAGTATGTGCCACAGTGTTATTTCGCTTCGCTTAGCAGCTCTGGTGCACACCTGATCGATCAGCACATTGATATTGATGACTAAGTCGTCTACCAACTAATGAACTGTCTTAAAGGTTTTCCACCTTTGAAATTTTGTCTTACAGAAGAACTGAATTATCAAGTGACTGAAAGTTAGACTGAAATAGTATCGCATAAGGTACAGTGATGAGTCCCATCATATAACCACATAATGGAAAACCACTGTATCAGGAAACGGAAAACTCAAACGACAACCATGTAAAAGCCATCGGTAATTGAAGTGAAATATCGAAGACTGTGACTCATAGCTCAGTTGGCAGAATACTGACCCAGTCACCTAGCGGTTAATGTTTTGAATGCTACTACGACTCACGTTTTCGTCTAAACTTCAGTCATTCTCTTATGATCGAATAACTGAACCACTTGAAATTTTCGATGAAAATGGAATCTTAGTTTGAATCACTGGTACAGATTTTGAGCTATTTTTTTGCGGCAGTTTTACACTGAAGATCTATAGCTTTGAATGGTGCTTCTGGTAGCTTCTTTTAATGTTATTTAAACGGTTTAGTCTCTAATCCTTCATATTTAAACTTCAAAGCAACCTTAAAGTCAAGCTCCTTATAGAAGTGAAGTTGACAAAATTTTCACCGATCACTTGACTTTCGGTTCTAGCAATCTGGAGTGAGATAAATTACTACTGGTGCTGATTTGGTCAGTGAATAAATCATCGATCACTCTTGCTGGATAGAAGGAGTCTTGTTGATCAACTGTTGACTTTGTGCCTACACGTACCGACATTCTGAACGCTGCATAGATATAATGTATCCCGAGGAAACATTTGTCAATCGATCACGTTCTAGCCGTATGTTGAGATTAATTATTCCCCCCCCCCCCACTAAATAAAAATCATCTTGTGTACCATATTCTATATTTCTTCTAAACGGAATCATATCTGCATTTATCTGTCTGCATATACGTGAGTTGTAATACACAATAATCTTGTTTCTGTGGTAAGCAATACTGGCACAGTTGTTGTCAAAGAAAATGAATTCATCAGTTGAAACGAATATTTCATTTTCATTTGCCATCTGGGTGATATACATAGATGTGGCTCATTAACTTATGTATTCAACTTTTAAATCTAGAGTTCCAGATTGGATTTTCTACCTAGTTGCTCACAAAATCAATGTGGCTCATAATTTGAACATATACCGAATTGATTTACACATTACAAGTATACAGTTTTGTCTCCTACTCAAATGTTTCATCTCTAGAATTCAGTTTTTCCTTATTGCAGTACTTTCTTATGCACCTGGATCAAAATCTTCTCATCTTCCCACCCCCACCAGACCACTGCGAACTGTATCAATGTGTACAATGACTGAGCAACTTTCTGATACCACTATGATTTTGTACAGCTTGGTAATTAAGCTTATGCAAATCAAGCTGGGATTTAACAGTTTAAAAATATTTAGGTATTGTGTAAGTGGTATTAATTATTTTGGTACTTATATTTCTCAATGAATGTTAAAGAAAACAAGGTTATTTTAATTGATAATGGGAAGAAAAGAATTTTTTTTACTGAAGAAAATAATCCATTGTTTTCTTATTCATAATTATAAGCGTGTTTGCTTTGTCATATAATCATCTGAAGATAAATACAGTCGATTTATTTTTGTGATGGAGATTGTCATTGGCTTTAAAAAGGCTTAAAAATACATTAAAGATTTATTGTTTACAATTTAAGTGAGGCAAAAGGATATTTACTTCTGCTTTACTTTTGACAAAATTTCCATGTGAACTAAGAGAGATGATCAGAATAATGTTTAACCTGGCATAAAAGTGCACACTGTTACTATACAAATCTTGCAATAATACAAATACAGAAGAAAGCTACAATTATCACAAAATATGCTAGAGGACAGAAGAAAAACAAACAATATCAGTGGAGTAATAGAAATGCAACGGCGACATAATTATTATTCAGGCAGTATCAAGGGATCCGCATCCGATGGATACTGCGTTCAGGTTTCATTGGGAACAATATCACTCAGGTACATACATCTGATGAATCCTGTTTGGAACGGAACGTGCGTACTGGATTCTGCTGGTAGGCATCAAGCAGACAACAACAGAAAATTAACATTTTAAACCCGGAAATCAGCAAACACCTGTCTGCTCATCAAGGCGACATTTTTTCAAGCAACATTATGTAACAGCCCCTAAATATTAACTCTCTTCGTTTTCTGCTATTGTTATTTGTGGAAACTAGAAAAAAATTCACATCCATGTAAGGTTTTAAGTCAATTTGTTTGTCTATATAACTGCAACAGCTATCCATGTATCTGACTATTCTTACCATCACTCTTGTTTAGGTACTTTTCAGGAATAAATACTAAGTAGGTTGAAAGCAATTCCATTCATGTAGAGTCGGCCATAGCCGTTTGATCCTAATTTAGTACTTTACCGAATTGCACCCCCAGGACCGTCAAATCTGGCGACGAACACTTTACCATTCCGCTTCCAAATTGGAACTCACTAGTTTACATATTTTTAAAATTCTGGTCCGGGTCTTGATCCCTCATGAAGTCATAAATAAACTGTGCTGAGAAATCTGAAACTAGGATGGAACAGTTGTTGAGTGTTTCAAGGTCTTCAGTGTATCTCAAACTGAAGTACATCCATGAGGAGAACCTCTCTGGAACTAACCAATTCTTCCAAACCACTAATTGAGGAGTTGGAAGATACAGAATATATAAAGATCTTTGAAACACCAAGGCAACTGCTCTATTGCGACCAGCTTTCAGCTGTATCAACTAAAATTTCTAACTGTTCCCTTTAATGGTCTCGCGGACTGTAACTGAAAACGTTTTTGCTTCCTACATGATTCATGGTAATATTATGGGATTCTACTAACTCGCTGAGTCTAAGGCTTCCTTCACTGGGTTCAGCTATATAGTTCATACTATATGCATCACTTGCATCGCAACTCTCAGGGTCACTGAAGATCATGATCTGATGCATTAATTAATATACTTATTTCACTTCTCAGTCTACGCCTGACCTAAATAGTATTCATTCTATTAGCCGCTTACACACCAATAATATATTACAAAGCAATTGGGATCGAATGTTTTTAACTTTGCTTACCTCGCACTTTCAGTGATCATGTTCGTCATCTTCATTTGAAGATAGAAGGCACTGCAGTGCAGAACACTGGAGTATGTTGCATGTATAGGTTGCGTACATTTAAAAAAGTAAAAAGTACTAGCTTGAATGATCAATCCAATTATGAAGAAACTAATTTCCTTGATTTCGTTATTGTTCACCAAGAGGAAGTGGATTACATTTTTATTTTATAAATGATTATTCAATTTATCTTATACCGAACTATTTCTTTCAGTTCACTAATAATTACTTACCTATACCACCTTCCTCAACAAGAAATGATGTTATACCAAGATTTTGTAATCTTTGCATTTCATATTCATCATCAAATATTCCACCCCAGTTGGCAGGTAGAGTAGCTTTTGAATATGGAGGTTCATCCATTTGTGCTTTGGATGCTATAAAACAAAATATGGGTTGACATGTTGGTGAATAATTTAAAAATATGAAGTTCTCATCTTATGTATTCATAATAATAATTACGATATGATTACACATCATTAAAATGTCCAACATTCATTGTCTGAATAGTGCAGGGTAACCAGTATTATGTAATTCGGTGGTAAACGCTAACAGAAGTCGACTGACCAAGTCTGCTAAGATACTCGGTATCATGATGATGTCTTCGGAAAAAACTATGTGAACACCAGTGTTGGCTTCTATGATATCAGTGCTTCATCATGCGGATTCAGATCTCTAAGGTGGTAGCGGTTCCCCTGATATTGTACATACACGTATCTGATGAGTGTTAGAAAGCATGAAACGCAAGCTAAAGGCTTCTAACCAGCTGACATATCAATAATGCCCTGAAAATTTCAATTTCTTCGATGACAAATGCTTTAATAGCAACTGCTATTCTTTTTTGCATTGATAGCATTGGCCGCCAATATCTCTTTTGTTTGAACTGTGTGGTTGTAATGAAAGACTGTGACTTCTACAATCGGAAGAAATTATAGCAAAAAGTATTTATGTGAATGAAGACTAACTGTCGAATAGTAAATAATGCTATCCTCTAGAATTCAGCACATTTCAATGTTTGTTGATTATGAAACTTTTGCGAATCAGTCGGTAATATAAGGCAATCAATAACTCTATTAAAATATAGAATGGTTGGATGCAATAGGCAAGAACTAATAGGCCTTACCATGAGGTTTCTTGGTACTTATCAGTAGACTGTAACCAATCAGTGTATATTTTCCATTTCTACAGAGATAACCTTTCTGACTATGACACTATGTGACATTCTCTAGAAAGATATCAGTTCCCTGAAGGCTGCAGATGAGTTTTGATGAATATGACTTAGAAACAGGAAATATCGACAACATTTTCCCGTTGACTACTTGCGACCGTCAATCAGAAAAATCTATCTGAGATTTACGTTGAATGAGTTTTATCAATTACGAAATGGATAATTATCTAGGAAAATTATTTTAACAGTTCACTTAGTAATTGGTTGAACATTTATGGGTTTTTATAATTCACTTTCAGTTCGATATTATTTTGAGATATACTTGAAGAATATGAAGATTCGACATTAAGATATGTGGTCAACACGTTGAAATCAACCGTATTTGGGTACTTGGTCCCAACCCTTTCAATTACTTGGTGTAAAGCCTAGAACATCGGTCTGGAAAAAGTTTTAGAATTCCCTAACATTCCTCAAGTTTACTACATCAAGAATTACACTATAAGTCAGATTAAAATTAGATCGATACTTTTCTTCATATTCCTCAATATAAAAACAGATTAAGAATGGAACTCAAGCGGTGACTGTTGTTTATGCACAATAAGACTAAAAGAACATCTATCATACTATGTAGTGAACCTGGACGCCACTTTACCACAGATCAAATCCCACTTTTATCTATTTTTATCTGCATCCTACAGTCAACAAAATATCTGCTAGAGACTGCTTCATCAAACTACTAATCATATGCTATAAAAGGACAAATATCACTACTACTACTGCCCAGTAGACAGAGATAGATAATTTATAACCTCGCATGAGAGCAAATTTTCCCACACTGGAGTGTTTTACTTCTGTAGATTCCCGTAACCATTCAAGATTTACAGTTTTATAGAAACTGTGACAAAGCATACTTCGTTAGATGGTCAGAGGGTTTTCTTTTATGGTCACCAAATATTGTTTATCTTCAGTCCAAGCTATGAATATTCTGTACTTTTTCAAAATCATAATTCATTGTATTCAAGTAAATCGGGTTCATTACAAGTTTACAGTAGAAACACTGATCAAGTTTCTCCAAGTTTCTGATTCACAGTATCTGATTTATATATTCCTCTTCGGAAATTTGGACATCTGTTTTTAAAAACTTAGGCTTTTTAATTCTATAAAAGTCTTTTGCTTCCATCCCATTGAACAGGTTAAACGTCACACAGATGCAGGTGATCAGTATCTACATACCAATAACCAGTCATCAAAAACAAAATTACCTTCAGTAAAGTTTCTTCAATTTTAGCATGTTTATACTCAGCTGACAATTCATCTTCAGTCGTAGCTCTAGCCTCAGTATCCTCTACAACTAAACCAGCACCAGCACCACTACCACCAGTTCCACCGCCACGTTCACGTTTCACTTGGTAACTTAAAACTTCAAATTGATCTAAAGCATGAGTTGGTTGAGTTTCCAAAATTAATTTCAACAGAGTAACTAAATGATCGTATAGATTTCCTGTTTTCGGATCATTTCCTCTATTCTCATTGTGTAGTTTTGCACCACCGCTATGCATACTCTGAAGTAATGCTTTACTACGCAAGAATTCATTTTCAGATGGCATTTCTGGTCCAAGATCAACATAAGTTTTGCGTGTTTCTCCCATGCCTATTTAAGATAATGATTTTTTCTGAAAAAGAACGAAATTAAAATATTTTTGATGAGTGAATCTGATTGCCAATTCAAGCCAATCTAAAAATGACCTTGCATAGCTTCCGCATTACGGATCAGCAAATGCCGATACAAGGCAACAAGATATAGACGAAAAAAGGATGACTAACAAAATCAACATAAACCCTCCCACATAGACGCTTCGGTTTAATTTGTCATGCTACATAATAGCACATAAACAACAGGTGGATAGAAAAGGAGTGAAATCAAGGCAGATAAAGTGATGTAAGAGAATAAACAATCTGAAGATAAATGTTAATGCGAATATCCAAGCATTAGAAGATGCGAAAAGTTGAATACATCAGCGCTATTGTGACTGATTTTCAGCCATTTCATTAAGAGTCCTCTACCACTGATTCCCTTCGTCTCGGAAACCGCAATCAGCAGTTTACATTCCCCCACACGAATCACAGACTTCATCGACTGGTGCCAGGTCTCGGTCTGGCCACCCTGGACCCTTTTACAAACTAATCTAACTTTCCCTATCATGACAAGTTTAGGCTTGGCATGTATCGTGCATGTCTACGTCATCTCAGTCGATAAAGATTCACAACCTTACTTGTCCAATTTCAATACCGCGTACATGGTGATTTCACTGAACAAGGAATAGAACAATCAAAAACAGTGCAAAGTGGTAAAACGAAAACAAGAAACAATGAAACAATACTAAAATTCATTATGACGACCAATTTCTAATCACTGATTTTGGCGGTCATATGAATTCAAACTGGGAAGTTCGTATTTGCCTACATGACTCAGATCAACAAGCAAATACTTCTTGTACTGACTCTATGTTTTAGTCTGGCCGTCTCTAACCCTTTTTCAAGTCTAAACCTACTTTGACCAATTTCGCGTTTGGAAGAAAACGACAATCAGTCATGAGCAACGGTTGAAATGTGACCCATTGGTTGCATTTCGAATGTTTAGATCAATTAATTACAGCAGCGCACTACTTTTAATGACCACGGTTTATTCCCGTATACTGGAGCAAACAGAACTACTGAATACCACATTTAACCTCTCGCAGGCAGTCGCATCACTCACTATGATAAAAGGTGGGAATTGATAAAAACCAACTGAGCTCTTTCTTATCTATACCGATGTTTTTCTAACCACCAACTCACTAACAATTTTGTGGTATTGATGAACTTAATCACTTGTCGTCAACATGATATAAATCGGGCATTCTGGAAGAGGATAATTTCACATAATTTCATCCGTTAGACGTATCCCCACTGAAACCCTATTATTTATTGGATTTCGTTTTGAACACAGTTTATTATTCATAGTTATAGTACGGTACCACCACAATACTCTAAGCTTGGACACCTCTGGTTGCAAAGCATAGAAGAAGCCGTAGGAAATAAAATATTTGAACCTAGTCTTCGTATACAGATGTTTATTCGTTCCCTTTCATTCACATGGCTTTCAACTTCAACCCAGATACAATTACAACAATTTCCTTCCCGGTCAAATCAGCTTAAATGTATATATTATCTTTACCATTATCTTATCATTAACGTCATTGTTATACTCCTTCTTCATTTAAATCTTATATTTTGCCCATAATTTTAATGTTTATAATCCCTGGAGGAGTCGGGAGTGGATACTCCTGTGAAGTTTCATAGCAGCATGAAACCCCTTGTCCAATGCTCCTAGGTTTTCTATCCTTCTTCAACTCATGTTATCCCGTGATAAATACTATCTTACAGCTTTAAGCATTTTATTATCTGATTGCTTAAACCCTGCACACCTTTATTGTTATCCGCCAATTCATTTACACGAACTTAAATCCAATTAATCCCATTGGTATAAAAAGTCCATGTTGCATAATTCGTGGATGCGATTGTGAAGGCTGGCGACAGTGTACCAAAATTACATATTAACTTCAGTTTTTACAATAGGAATATTTGGATTATGCTTCGAAAAGCCAGCGATGCATGTGTAGTAACGCTTTCAACAAAATGTTTGGTTAATCTAAAGAAATATCGCTACAAATGCAAACGCTGGATAATTTTTCGCCACCTTTAGTCATTTATGGCATGAGGCGTGATATTCGACTGCCCAACAAAGTCTGAGTATACTGCACAGGAGGTTGCTCTTTCCGCCTATATGGCTCAGAAACATGACCATTAAAAGTGGTGGACGTGAGAAGGCTACTGGTGCTCGACCAACATTGCCGTCTAAGCATAGGCCGTGGTTGCTGTGCAGTCATGTCACTTACAAAAAGGGGAATCGCTGAGATTTCAATAAAAAAGGTAAATAAGTTGATTAGGTTGTGAACCTTCATCAACCCAGATTGCTGTGACATGTGCACGCATGCCTAATTGCCGTCTTCTCCCAAAACGCAAAATTGGTCAAAGTAGGTTTAGACTTGAAAAAGGGTTAGAGACGGCCAGACTAAAACATAGAGTCAGTACAAGAAGTATTTGCTTGTTGATCTGAGTCATGTAGGCAAATACGAACTTCCCAGTTTGAATTCATATGACCGCCAAAATCAGTGATTGGAGACTGTGTGCCATTTTAAACGAAAGCATCCACACATATATAAGTCAGTAAAACTTGTGTGGGCACTGTGATAGATTGTAACTCCATTTTAGTCTGTTCATTAGAAATGTCACATTATGGAACAGTATTATTTGCTTAATAACGTTTTGGACAAAATTAATTGTCCATATTCTTTTTCTTCCCCTTCTCAAATTTCCACTACTTTTGATTGATCTATACATTGTTTCCGTATCTTGTTGCCTTCTATCACCATATGCTGATGTAGTGCGGCAAACTGGACCATTACACGGTAATGCACAGGTTGTATGTCATGGTGACTAACTGACTTACTTGTGTTGGCTGATTTCCACTCGTCATGGTGTATGATTTGAATGTCAAGAGTGAATCCATATTTAACTGAAGGAATTTCGATACCTTAAGCAAAGTAAATAACTAACTGAGCTAAAATCTATGACTTTTCACTGAGACGACAGATATTAGACAACTTCAAACAAAGCTTTTATCATTACGAAAAAGTCAACTATCAATCTTTCATCTCTATGGTAATTTCATGAGAATTTTATTTATTTTGTATCTTAAAGATTTGCTTAGGCCATATCTTTTCCGCTTTGGATTCATTTTAAACTCCAACTCTCTCTCTTTCATTATCTAATTTGAACTCATCATATTATACAATGTAACTACAACCATGTTATTGATGACGTCAACAATTTATTTGAAGTGTATTCACTAATCCTCCCTTAACGTTAGTTTTAATTGTTCTATTTTGCCAATAACCTTTTAAGATAAGAGTGAAACCTGAACACTGTGATTGAGTGTAATTCCATATTAGATTTCTTTATTTGATATGCTTCACATTGATACAGTATAATGTAGAAAGATATTCAAGGCTCCCATCGAGTAACTGTTCAAGGAAGAAACGTCATAAACTGAACAGAATTCTTCTCAACAACAATGGAATAAGATTGAAAGTAAGACCAACTAATTTATCCGAAAACAAACTAAGTATGCCTAAGGACCCGATCTATTGAATCAGACCAAGTCAATAACTTTGGGGGTCAAACACATGTCAGACAAGGTAATCGGTGTCAGCTAAACCATTGGAGCATTGGAACTTAGCTAAATTTAGAATAATAGACTCCACTAAAATCAGTAATGTGAAAAGCCTCAGACATTTCGCTGTATGCATTGACACACAATTACATCACTGGGTGAGACAAAGCAACTTCACTGAAAAGCGGTGTAGTTAGTTCGATGTAGACACTGACTACCGTATATTTTTTTTGAATCAATACCAAGCAGATGCAATAGAAACGAGGTATCACTTATTCCTGAGATGTTTAAAAAGCACTATAAATAAAGAATGTGAGTTAATAGAACCGTAAAAACGGAAGTCGAAAGTTGTGTGATTACTTTGATTAGAGTATAAGCGTTAGTTTTTGCTCGAAATGAACCCATTTAAATAATACTGAATCACTGTGTGCTATACCATTAAATCTAACATGAATTGTAAGTAACCTCATTTAAAAAATTTCCGTTCCTACCAAATTCTACGTCATTTACTATTAGACTATGTTGTTCAACGTCTTCAGTCAAACCTGTATAAAAATGTGATGGATACATTTACATTCTTAACATCTTAATAAGTCTGAGTATCTTTCTTGTTGTTTAATCGTCAGTAACTCCGTAAAAAACAGTATACAGCACTAGATGGTGAACATTTTCAATTTCATTGAACTGATTTGGCATGTTCACGCATGATACAGATCATGAGCGGCAAGTATTAGACAAAATACTTGTTAAATTTCCTTTCATTTTCATTGGCGTTATCCTGCTATAAATGTGTGGTATTGAAGAAAACATTAGTAAGGGGAAATTTTAAAATATATTTTACTGTCAAGTAGTTAAATTGATCAAATTGTTGGACATTATTCAGAATGAAACAGACAGACAATCTACCCACCTGCGTGATGTAAAGAAGAATGACTTAGGATTTTATTGCATTCCTACTTGCGTCTGTGTATGCGTCGAGTTGTTTCATTTAGTCAATTTCGTTCCTGCAATGTGTACTATTTTCAAAAAAATGATGTATAGAACTTATAAAGTGAGTCACGTGACTCTTCAGTTTGTAATTCGACAAACATTTATTGATTTAAGATGAATATGATCATGAATGGCATCAACTTGATGACATCGTGAGTAGTAGTAAATATTATTTTTTAATAAACCGTCAATTTTCTTCTAAATCTGTATTTCAGATTCAAGTTGGTTGGAGAAAAAGTCAGTGACAGACAGATAAAGACATTGAATTGATCTGATTGGAGGCAAACGACAGAAGGCCCAAGTATGCGCATTATTAATTGTCCCTTGGGTTCCTAATGGAAC